TTTTCCAAAAACACTCACTGTAATTTGTGTTAGTATTCTAAAAAAAAAAAAAAAACAAATCATGAAAAAGCTCGCACTCATGAAAAACGTGCTCTCCAGCTCCATGATAGCTTTAAACAACATCTGTAGAATTACAGCTCAAACCTCATAGCTCTGTGGCTTATCCAGGTGTTATTTATATAAGCAGACACAAAATTAGTGTCTTGCAATTATTTTTTCAGAATATTCTTGAAAAAAAATTACTTGAACATTGTAATGTAATAATGATATATTGTCTCTGGACAATACTGGCCTCATTCAGTGAATCATTATTTCAAGACAGTGCAATTCATCTTCAGCATGTCCTACAAGAATAAGTAAGTTTTTCAACAATCAGTTCATGAGCTTTGGTCTCACAGGGCAGATACTTCCATATTAAAGATAAGCCAGATTATTGTTGTAGATTTGATTCTATCTCCCATACTGAGAATCACGACTCTTTTCTTTATAACAAAATGCAGAAAGGGAATGATAAAAAATCCATCCCCTCCAAAGGGATGCTCTATTTTTGCCTTCTGTTCCCTATTCCAGAACCAGCATTAATCTCCGCCTCCGAAGAGGATCTGGTGGTTCCCTGTGGGTTAATCCTTTCATCTGCTTCCTCCTCCTTTCCCAAAGGAAATATTTCAAAACTTACAAAAAGGACTTGTGAAGCTTTAGATCTGGCTAAGGGGGCACTCAAAATGACAACAAACCAACAATTTTCAGTAAACACTCAAAAAAAAAAAAATTAGAAATTGTTCCTTCAGCGAAACAAGCCCCAGTGCAACAGAGCAGTCTTGGGCATCTCTTGGAGCCTCATCACAGAAAATAAATGCAAGAATGACTTACTAGGTCATTTTGTCTATCATTTGCCAACAAAGAGCTATTTTCCATGGTGTTGCATGATAGTACCTGTTTTAAAAGATGAAACTTGTTTTAAGAGTTAGCTACTTCACATTAATAGGCCTCACAGATCAAACTCTCTGTCCTTTGTGTCCAACAGATATTTACATTTAAACTTTTCTCAGTTGTCCCCTCATGACCACACATTTCCCTCCTTCCTTCCTAGTCCACGATGGGCATGGCACAGACCTCAGATCAGGGGGACCTGGAGCACAAAGGACACAAACTGCTCTCCCACTACAAAGATTTCTTTTGTCACGGTTGTTTCCTTTCAGTGTTTTCTCTTAAGTCAGCTCTTTTAAGCTTTTGCCTTCCATTCTCTGACACCCTGAAAATTAACCACGATAACTTCAGTGGCAAAAAAGGGAGATTGTTACTTACTCATCTGCCCTTGCCTTTTGTCATGGATATTGTATTTCCTCTATTTATATTTTCATTAGGGCTCAGTCCCTCCCAGCTCTTCAGGGATGTCACTGTATGAAATACGAGGCCTTGCATTTATAAACACCGCAATTTTATTAAACTGAAGCTCACTTTATGGTGATGAGTTCAAGCAAAAAGGTATACAAATACACATGCATAAATTTAAAATTTTATCAGGAAATCTTAATGTTAAGATATTTTATCTTATATGATGGTTCTTCCTCAGTTTTGACTTGTTTACAGCTTTCTGAAGACCCTGAGAGATTTGAACACAGCAAACAGGCAAGCAACTGGTTTAAAGGTAATTTTCTTCTTCAGTTTGCAAGTGTACTATCAGACCTAGGGCCTGACTGCAGCTGCTGCAAGGGATGCGTGTGGTCATGTCCCCAGCGCAGGTGACAGTGTGACCAGCTGCTGTGGTTTACAGCATCCCTTTGGAGCTGGATGGCTGCTGGTGACTGTCAAGCTCAGTGGAGCCTCTTGCCTCAGCATCTGGTACAACACAGCTCATTAGTGAGAACCTCAACCTTAGCAAACAGGTATAAATTTATTATTCTGGATCTCAAAGCATGATTAGTTCTGTTGGGTAATCTGTGCTTACCAAGCAGGTAGACTTAGCAACTAAAGCAGGAGGTTTCTCCAGCTTCCAGGTACTGATAAACTAAAATTTATTCTTTTCTCATTACTTCCAGCACTTGTTGAAATCATCCCTGGATTAATCCCTTCCATGCCAGACAGATGCAGCAAGTTGTGTCCTAGGTTTAACATCACCTGCACTACCCAGGGGGTGCAGAACATGCTTGTGCATTTCCTGAGTTGTTTCTCTTGTAACATGCTTAAAACTGGAGGAAAGGGAAGTAGCACTTTCTGATTCAGAATTTGTCTCTAGCCATATTTTTATGGGTATGAAGTCGGGGTCTGGGAGAAGTCCCTGTGGTAATCTGATGACAAAGTAGGTCCAGATCATACAAATTACTTCATTTGGCATTTTTGTGCAAAACATTGTCTTCATTGCTTAGCCCATAGAATCGGTGCATTTTGTATATCAGACAAAATAAATAGTGGCTTCGCTTCAAAAAGAAAAATAATCATGACAGCCTTACATGTCCATGCATATTTTATGGACTGTTGTTAATGAAAGATACTGTATTTCATTTCTCTGCTGCCTGCTCAAGATTAGGGAATGAATTCTCATTAGAGTCGATCAATATTTTAAGTGAATACACTTTGGAAATTACTTAACAAGGATTTGTTGATACATCTTTGCATGTTTCTCATTTTACCTTCTGTTATCTTTAGAATTTGGAGATTTCTGTACTTAGACTCCCTGCAAACGGCCCTGCGTTTCATGGCTGCAAACTTTGCTGAGCAGAATTTGCATTTCTTCAAGAGATAAGCTGGAGTAATTTAAGCCTATTCATGTAAAAGCTGTCATGTACATCTATGTGCCTACAGACAAAATTGTTTTGTCGGTGAGTAGAATGGATTTTCAGCCACAACTGACTACTGCTCTCCATCACAAACCCAGGCAGAGAGACTCAGTCCTTCCCCTATCCATTATGAAGAAATCTATTGATTTTGAAGGAAAACTACCTGCTCCAATATTTTCACATCTTCCTGTTCCACTAGACCAAGGTGCAAAAAAAAAAAACCAACCCAACCCAACCAAACCAAAAAATGCACACACACAAAAAACCCCAACACATTTATTTCCCATGGTATGGAAAACATGGTTTCAGTGTCAGCTTAGCTTCAAAAAGCAAAGGTAATGCAATACACATCCAAGAGAGGTACAGGAACCAGGACACTGCCCAAACCCAATTCCTAAACCTGCAGAGACCTTCTCAGACACTTGCCAGCACTCACAGCAGAGGACAGGCAATGTGCTGCTCTCAGCACAGGACTCCTGTCCTAAAATCCTCTCCTGACAGCACATCATTTAGTACTTGCTTTAGCAACCTATTTCCATACCAAAATGCCTAATCAACATTCTTCAGATCCAACAGCCCTTTCTTCAGAGGCAGAACAGATTCAGTTTGTCACAGACAATGCCAAAGTTGTAATTGCCTACTATAAAAAAGGGAAACAATGGTATGTTATTTACTGACTGCTTTCTCCACTCTGCTGTGGGACAGCCTTTGGGCCCAAATTTATTAACCTGCCTGCCCTGCCTCTTGCTGGCAGCTGCCTCTGCACAAGCAACATGCTGCACAAAAGTACAGGGCTTGTTTCTCTGGTCCAAACTCACTTGTGAAACATGAGGAACATCAAACACCTCTCCCACAGTGGCCACCTCCCCATGACATGCCTGGCAAAGGAGCCATAGCAATGCCTCACTACATCATTAGGGCTGGCAAAGACAACCCAAGGCCTAAAACACAGTTAAAAGGGGGGAGAAGGTGTTGGTGTACATAATGATTTAATAAAAATGCAAGTGACCCTGTCCCCTGCTTCTAAAGGCTGCAAGGTAAAATTGTCTAGTGCCAGGCTCTATGGCTAATGGGGGACTATGAAAACATGTTGCTTATAAAAATATCACTTTTTGTTAAAGAAAAAAAATCAAGATATAAAGTATAGCTAATGTGCCTGGTGTTAATTGTAAAACTGACAAGCATTAGATGAAATGGGTAATTTTACAAGTACAGCAGAAGGGGATTAAATTATATGCAAGAATTATTAGACTGCATCTTATATTTATTAAAAAAAACCCTTTAGCTATATTTTAGGAGCAAGGACCTGAAGAAAAAATTAACTCTAGTTTATCCATGACATCTTTAAAATTAATCTCTAGACAGAATACTTGGGCACATCTCCAAGGAAATAGATCCTGCCTGTGGGAAACCAATTGCAAATACTTGGAAATTTCATGAAGAAAAATAATTAAAGGCCCGAGTCCATAAATGCTCATTACAGAGGAAAGTGCCAGGGATGGGAGTGAGGCAAGAGCTGTATTACTGTGCAGACCCCACACACTGGCTGCACTGTTCCCTCCCACTGCTGAAAGCAGGAGCTGTAGCAAATCCTGCTTTTGGGAAGAATTTTGAGGTCTGTGGTTCCAGATCCCTGGGGCAAAGGCAGCCGCCAAGTACAGCTCCACTAGCTGGAACAGTCCAAATATTGTTGTGCAGTCCCACCTGGCTTCACCAAGTCAAAACCCAAGTGCTGGCCTTTAAGCGACCCCATCTGGCAAACACTTGCCAATTAACAAGGCTAGTGTGGCAGAACCACCACTCAGCTGGAACTTCAGCATGGGCACATGCACAGCTACGAACCCTAAAAAAGGGTGAAGTAAAATCTGCTCACAGCAAACATCAGTAAAAGTGTCACTAAGAGACCTACCGATGTATCAAATATTAGAAGTATAATTAAAACGGACCTTTATTAATAAATTAATATTATTTTGCCTGCCTGGAAAGACCAGTTTCCAAGCCAAAGGGATCTGATCTCTCCAGTCAAAAAACCAAAGGGGAACTGGCGCCTCCTTATCCACTCCCTTTTCCTGGAGTAATTTTTTTTTTTTCTTTTATGCTCTTCCAAGTCCATCTTCACCACTAGATCAGCAACATCAAATTGTTTACACAAACAGTCAAACTTAAGGTTGCTCTGCCTGTATGAACCTGCAACAGCACCATTTGGAGAGAAAAGCTACATGAAAACTCCACAGTGTATAAAGCTCTAAGATTTAATTAAACATTAGAATGTTAAGATTTCTTGCCTAATCCTGCAATTATCTATGCAAGTGTCACGCATAAATACCTTTCTCTGCCACTCCTTTAGCTTCACAGTTGTGCCCAGGGAAGCTAGAACAAGGTCATACTCTGAAAAGGGAGGTGCAGGAGCAGGCAGAGGCCATGGGTACCTCCCAGAATGTCTTTCTGGCACACGATTAATACCAGCTACAGCGATTTGAACACAAACCACACAAGGTCAAGTTTGACGTGAAATGTTTCTCCAGACACCATTAAGTCTACTCATCACTATAAATGGCTCTGCCATGGTCATTCCAGCACAGGACACAGCAGGGTGTCCTTACACTGCGCTGCACCATACCTGGGACAGCACTTTCCAGTTTTCCTTGCACATCCCCACCAAACTGTAGCAACACTTATAAGGCAAGCAACTTGTCAGAACAGGTGGAAAAGCACTGAAGGCTTGCGGGGTGCACTGCTGCCTTTCCACGGGGGTGCTGCAGAAAATGTGCTTTTGGGACAAGCGCTTGTGTCGGAGCAGCTGCTCAAAGGTGAATTTGCAAAATCACTTCACTAGAAAGGTCAGAAAATCACTTCCCTCTGATGATTTTTGGAAAACTCCCACGAGTATCACCTCAAAGCTTTACATAGAGAGTACCTGAGCTCCTAAGTACTGGATTTGGCACATCCTGTGATAAGCACTGCACGCAGAGGGACTCGGAGGGTGGGTAACGCTGGGATTGCCTTCAGCAGAGGGCACTCGGCTGCTCCCCCAGCCGCAGCCTTACCCCGGAACTGGACAACTTTCAAGCACCCTTAATTTTGTTTGCTGCCAGTGTAGAAAGCGAGAATAAACTCAGCCCCAGGGAACCTGTTTTCTAGCTTAAGAAAACTTTTCCTGCAAAAATTACATGACCAATAGAGTCAAACTGGTTTAAATTTTACCTCTCTGATACACGTAAAACCACCGGGCAGGGTCTAGGAAAAAGTAAGAAAAAAATTTAACAAAAAGAAAGTGAAAACCATACACAGCTTTATCTTTTGTTAATTTTACGGTGACATTAGGTATGTCCTACAAGTGCCATAGGTCCCCTTTCCCAGTGATTGTAGGATTGTTGCCAGATATATGTGACTTTTTATCTCCTGAATTGCGTCTTTCCCTTACCCCAAGGGGCAGGAAAGGAAGTCAGAGCTTGCTGTCCCTGCATGATCACAAAACCCAGGGCAGCACGTCAAGGCAGGCATGCACACAGTCGCGCAACCATGCAAGCACCCATGCATGCAGCAAGACAGCAATGCAGCAGTCGTCCTAGCAGCTCTGGTAAGGGATAAGAAGGACTTCACATGCAATTTTTGAAATCTGCTGGGGGGCAACAGGAGAGGCCCCAGCCTTCTGGTTCCTCTCCACAGCCCAGCTCTTTGACAGCTGTAGAAATAAAGAAGTGATTAGTAACAGTGAAGAAGTCTCAGGTGGTCTCGAAGACTAACTGGTGCTCCTCACAGTCACTTCATTTGCAATGGGGTCATTCGTATTATCCTCACATCCTCTGGGAGAAAACTTCATTAGCAAATTAGGTTAAAAGGTTTTAAAAAATAACTACTTATTTTAAAGTTACTTATACGGCTTCTCATGGCATCAGTTTATTTTCACTTGAGAACTGGGTACACGGGGTGACCTGCAATAACTTGCAAAAGGCATCAGAGTTTTGGTCAGAACATTACTACCTGCAGCTCCCTGGTCCTACCTGGGCAGATCCTGCCCTCAGCCCACCTGGCATCTATTGCCTTCATTGCCAGGTAGTCTGTGCCTCCAGCTGCCCAAGCCTTCCTGAACACCCTCTCACCACACCATCAGCTCCACAGCATCTCACCTCCTGTCTTGGAAGCACCAGTGAACCTAACTGGTTTCATGCTCAATAATTCCCCGATAAATAAATAAAAAAAAAATGTGTTTAGAAGCAAGTCTGGATTTTCCTTCTGGCTCATTGGAGGAGGCGGCTTACAGGTACCATATGTGACAAGATCACTAAGCTGTTGCAGGGGCTGACCCTCCTTTCGTGATTCTCACTCTGAGCTTTTCACTTTTCACTTGCTCTTGGCAGTTGAATAACTAGATGGAATTAAAAAGTCTTTGAGATTCGATGTTAAACTGGTGCAGGAATGGAGAATTTACACTCCCACTAGAGAATTTAATAAAGTATCTGGCCATAGACAAAATTGACAGAAACACATATTAGAATGTGGCTTTCCAACAGCATCACTCACACAATGAGGAAGTGTCTGATCAGAGAGTACTGCTGAGTCATGATATTTGACCTCTAATTCTGGCTCAGCAATTCCCAGCCTGAGGAAGGAATAATTAAAGAAAAATATAGGACTGGCACAGACAGGAAAACCACCGTGGATGCTCCAGTTGGCTGCTAGAGTACAAGAGCAATGGCGATGAAATGATCAGTAACAGAACTGAATCCTGAATGACTGACTGCTCACACAGGGCTGTCACTCACAGTTAGTGACTACAGACACCTCCACACTTTCCCCTTTTGAACTGAAACGTCAAGAATACTTTGAAGAGAAGCTGGTCTCGAGAGCAAAGAGCCTCCAAACAACCATGGGTTTGAATCAAGAGCAATAGATCACAAGGCATGTTAGAGACAAAGCAGTGCATGTCTAGGAGCTTTACTGATAGTGCATAAAAACCATTAGCAAAATTTAGTAACTCCACTGTATTGCATGTGTTATAATCATGTGGCTGTTTAACATTCATGATCCACCAAAAGATAGGTTTGCTAAAATAAATAATGAACAGGTTGCTTCAAGAGGCTCTGAATGTCTACTGAAGCAAAAGGTGTTGAACTATTAGCCATTAAATCACTCACTGCCAGAAAGTCCCACTTTGCTGGGTAACATGAGGACAGAAAAAAAAAAAAAAAAAAAAAGAATTCCACTTATTCCACTTCAAGTCTAATAAGGATGGTTCTAAATTTTCATATTAACACTGGCTGGAAGCTAATATCCATTGATAAGAACAAAGAAATGTAAATGCAGTCATTAGAGAAAGCATGGCAATAGTGTCCTGATTTGATAAAGGTGAAAGCAATTAATAAAAAGAGCTACAGTACAACGAAAGGTCCCACAGTAAATATTGGCCCTGAAAAGATGAAGGTGCATCAGAGATGATTAGGAGAGAGCAGGAAGCCAAACGACATGCTGCAAAAAAGAGAAAGAAGGTCTTTTTTTCTATATTGTGTAGCCTTGTGGCTTATCAGAACTTTAGACAGTAGATAATACCTTCTGGATATAAATAATCTTTTCCTTTTTTACAGAGATAGGAAAAAAGCTCTTAAAAAAGATAAAAAGAAAAAAGCTTCTGATAACAATACATTTTTCTTCATTGTAGGAAAAACTTCACAGAGTCAGCTTTCAGGGGCTCATCTGAAAATTAATTCCCTTCCACATTATTAAAATTATAACTAAGTTTTTGATTCAGTCTGTATTTTTTTATTAACACTGGATTGCGCTTTTCAGAAAAATAGCACTTTTCAATAAGCTCAACAGAAAACTTCTTAATCATCATCTCAAATTCATATGCTTGTCTGCTTAACATATCGAACAGCACAAATAGGAGAAACTACAATGTTGATATCTCCACTCACAAAACCTCTTCCTAAAACATGCAGAAGCAGTTACTGAGGACTTGAATATTTGTCATCTCTTCCAAAAGGAGTCTTATGAATTTAAACTTTTTTTTTTTTTTTTTCCCCCAAAACCCCCAGGTTATGTATTACCCTCTGGGCCATGAAATAGAGCCATTTCTGAGCAACTATGGATCAATGAAAATCAATTGGCAGAACCTCAGTTCATCATTTCTGAGGATTATTTCTAACACAGTAGGTGTTTGTTGCAAGCAGCAGGTAATGCCACAGCCAAACCATCAGGGCCATGCACACAGGCTGGGACTGCCCACTTCTACCTGACCAGGGTGAGCTGCAAGCTAATATTAAACTTTACTTAAACCATATATATTTGTTTAATTTTTCAATGTAATTTAACTTACGATATTTTCTTTCCTTTATAACCTAAAGAAAGATGAAGGAAAACCCCAAAACAAACCTTGCAGGTACCAAAATAGGATGCAGGAAGCAGGGATAGAAAAATGGAGAAAAGAATGAATCTGCAGCCATGTAGTGGCTTCAGCAGATTCAACCTTCAGCAGTGACAGGTGAATAACACACATTTCCCCTGTGACATCTGCATGGCAGCCTTTTTTAACCTGTGGCCGTGCCCATACCCAATTCTCTGACAGGTCAGCAATATCTAAACAACAGTGGATTTTATGTCATTCCAATTGTACTGGACAGGAAGCCATTACACACCCCAACATCAGTGTTTAACTTTGTTCCTACTACCTGTGGAAAACCAAAACAACTCAAACACAAAAAAAACCCTAACATGGCAGATAGTATTTCAATGCAGAACCCAGTCCTGATTTAGAGCTGAGTTCTGGTACAAGATAAAAGATACTTTCTTTTTGACTTACTTTTAGGAAACCAGAGTACTAGAGAGCTGTATGGTGTTATGGGACATTGAGCTGCCAAGATGTACATCTGCTTGGAACTTGTTTATCAAGAAGGCTTTCAAAAATAGAAGGCAGGTTACTTAGACTCTAAACCAGAACAATTTTTAGTTTAATAGAAGGAGGGAACTCAACAGAATAGATATAAACCAGCTTTACACACAAATCCCTTGCTACCAAACATACTGAGGGGATGGGTCCTTGGCTCCATGTCCATAGTTTTCTCAGTTTCAGAAGGCTGAACACAACCTCCCTGCCCTCAGGAAGAAATATATTTGTTTCATAAACATAATAGAGACAGTGGGAAAAGAGTCTTGCATTTGTGTCACTTCTCTTTTGGAGGTGGCAAGTAAAAGCTTACAACAGGAGCTTCTTTGCCCTTGGCAAGTCTCTACTTCGGTCAGTTGAGACCTTCCTCAAATTATGTGATCTGCTGCTGCTGCTTGAGTAGTTGAGGGGCAGGGAGTAAAAACCAAAGATCTCAGTCCCTGCCCAGTGCCCGTGGAGAGCAAGCTGCATGCCTGCTGCAGCACTGGAAGCAGTGGAGGCTCCTCTCACCACATGCTCCCAGGCAGAGCAGAGCAGAGCTGCTCCAGGTCCTGCACCTCAGGAACATCGTCTCTCTGCGCAGCCCAGAGTGGCACCACCGTGCTTTCTGCTGAGGGCACCACTGGCTGGGCACATCGAGCTGGCCATGGCCCCCCTAAACCAGACACCTCTGCCCCACGCCTCCTCCAGACTTGTACAAAGAGCCACTCAGAGTCCATAGCCTTATTTTTTTATACACATCAATCTTTCTTACTTCTGAGTGATCCATGAGTAGCATAGCATGAGCATATTCCATTTCTGTGTTACTCCTTCCTGTTTAAAAAGTCAAGTTTCCTTACATTGTCATAACCCAGCCATTTACACCACAAATAAAGCTTCCTGTGACACTACCCACGCTGGAAAGGAAGAAGCGTACTCTTGATTATTTTTGTGCTTTGTAAGAAGTGTAGTACATCACTTAGTACTGAAACAAGACATTGAAATGCCATTTGGTACCATTCCAATTCCCAGCTGAAAAGAAATAAAATGAAAAATATTTACATACTAACTTTTTATATAGTTGAATAATTTTTGTATGGTTTGTTAAGCAAATATATTTCCTGCAATACATACATTTTACAGGCCATGGAACCTGGCAGCACTTTCCATTTTACTCTGTTAATATGAAATTGTGAATACATTCAGCATCACTTCTATTCAAGCTCAAACGTCTCTGCACAAAAAACAGCTCAGGCTGACACGATCACCTTCTGAGAGCAATTATATTTTGTGTGGTTTGTGGGGGTATTCAAGGCTATCTCCCCAAAGTGTCCAGACTACCACCAACACTGCTTGTG